AGAGTTGGGTTGATGGCTCATTGGTGGGACGCTTTTTTAGAAACATGAATACGAGAGTCATGAAGTGAAGAGGAGGGTCTGATAGCCCACCTATCATTCCACCCTGGGAGGCTGAAGTAGGGGGTTACCATAGTAAGTTGGCAAGTGAGACTAGCCATGTTGACAAGCTCTGGATTTTACTGAAAGACCCAACTAAGGGAGAGACTTGATTGGATTATGTGGAAAAGCAAGCAAGGATGATTCCCAAGCTCTCTAGCATCCACGTGCCCCCACACACCCCTATCTGCTCATAGTCATGTAAAAAAAGCCACATATATACATGTGCATAAAAATAGAAAACAGGTTTAAAAGATAAACAAAAGGGAGGGAAAATCTTGCGGAGAAAAGTAGAAATAATTGTAGTTCATTTATTCAACAATTATTAACCTTTCTTCTTGGGCACGCTCAGAGATATAAGGAACCTAATACTGAACACATTAGATGACCATTTCACATATAGGGAGCTTCTTTTGGGGGAAAGGAGGCAGGTAGTGAAGATAAGAGGTCCATATGGCATATGCGATGGGAGATACATACAAAGAACAAAACCCAAGGTAGAAGAGAGGCATGGGAAATGTTTGTGTGGAAAGGGAATACGTATCTTGACTCATACTGACAGGAAAAGTCTCCCCACTAACAGTGACCTTTAATAGATAGTAAAGGACTGAAGGGACCTCTAAGCATTTTTGTAAAAAGAAAAAAAAGCTATGACAGAAAGACCCGAGCTAAGGAGACCTGGGACATATGGATGAGGACATAGATACTGGAATGTTTGCTAGAGCGAAGGCCAGGAGAAAGTGGAAGGAGACCAGGACATGGAGCTTATGGTCTCTGTATGATTCTAGGACTCGGGAGTTTTCATAATTGTCCTGATGATACCTCATGAAATGGCAGCCAATAGATGGGTTTGAGTCCAGAGATGAAATGACATGGCTTCTGAGATACCTGATCTGGCTACTTTCATTAATGGTTTGGGGACAAAGGCAGAAAATGGTGATCCAGGCAGGAAGCCAGAGCCACAAGGAAAATAACCACAGCATGGACCAGGGTGGTACCCATGAAGTTGATAAGAAACAGTGAGAATCTAGATAGATTGTGATTGTGGTTTTAACAGGATTTACTAACAGAATAGACCTGGGCATGAAAGTAAGAGAAGGCTTGAAGATGACAGCACAGTCTTGAGTCTGAGCTTTGGAAGAATGGAGTTGCTATTCAGCAGGCAGTCAAGAATACAAAAAGAGCTGGCAGGGGGGTAGGATGGAAGAAGGGGAGGGGGCACGCACTATTAGAAAGACTCAGTTTCGATGTGTGGAATGAACTGTGGGTTAGAAATCTATTTGAAGGTGTTCCAGGTCTGGAGTTTTGGGAAAGGTCCTGGCTCAGGATACATATTTTGAGTCATCAGCATGTGGGTGAAATTTAAAAGTATGAGACTTGACAAAAAAATCATGCAAGGAGTGTTTTCAGGTGGGGAAGATTCATCTAAGGACCGAATTGCAGGAACACAGCAATCTCAGTGAAAGTGTGACAGAGCTAGGCAGATCCTGATGGGTATTCAGTGGGCTGGATATTGTGCTTATTTTGCTGAGCTGAATAGATGTTGCAGTTGAGCCTAAATGCTTCTATGACTTTTCTGGACAGTTTGATGCTCTATTGATCGGATTTTCATTACTACCAAATCCATTTCTCCCCCTTACAGTATTTACTACAGATGAATTATGTGTCAAGTGGCTATTGAGTTTATTCCCAATGAAATGCTCTTACTTGTTTTGAGACAGCTCATGTAAACGTGACTCAGAATTGACTAAGGAAGTTTCCAAGGAAGTGGGCTGAGGTGGTAGAACAGGCTGTGCTGAGCTCTGAAGGGTGCTCCTTGGTCGGAATGAGGCCTGTAAGTAAAGCAACCACAGTGGACTTCAGGCAGCATGTTTGGCTATGGTAGTCAGGAATCTAGGGAGGAGAATGATTGTGCAGCCAGAGTCTTAAATACTTTGCCTTCTGTGTCCATAAAGAAGGGCTCATTTGAAAAGCATTCAAGGACCCCTTTAGCCGCTCAGCCATGCTTCAGTCTGCTTTGTGTGATTGAGAACCCTTCATTAACTTTCTAGGCACTAGATTCCAACTTGATGGCCGTAGACCGTTTTTAGGGCTGCTGTTTCAGGAATTATTTTTCCCTTTTTAATTGATCTGGTGTATAGAATTCACTGGAGGTTTCATTAGGTTTTCCTACGTCCACGTCATTGTACGTTGCTCATATTCAGCTCACGACTTCCCTCTGTCTTTCCTCCCTCCTTGCTGGTCTCCTTCCCATCTTAAAACAATTCCCCTTGTCCTTTCATATCACCATGTCACATATATGTGTATGTATGCATGCGTGTAAAATTTAATTTGAGCATGTGACAGAAGAGAGTGTGGCAGTTCGTCTCCATCCTGTTTCATTCTCTTATTCCCTGTTTCTCTCCACTTAGACTTCTTCTTCTTTATACTTCTACACACACACACACACACACACACACACACACACATACTTTGCCATACATATATATATGTATATATACATATATACACATATTATACACACACACACATATATATATATACACATATATATGCATATGTGTATATAAAATTTAAGTGAAGATTACATATATGAGATATAAGAGAAAACATGTAATATTTGTTTTCAGCATCTGGTTTATTTCATTTAACAAGATGATTAATTATATACAGCTTTAGTATATATTATATATAATAAATGTAACATATTTATAATATGAATGATATTATAAATATGTTTTTAACATGATTCTTGAATGAGGAGTGGTAGAAGTTTTAGAATAATCCATCCTGCTTGAAGTAACCACATTGTTGATACCTAAGAATACATACTTCACTTTGTCTTTTGTATGTATTTATTTTGGTTCCCACTAATATGGTAGCCCTAACTTTTTTGCTTTCTAACTTTATAGGCTTCTTCTCAAGCAGGTGGGGGTGGAAGGTGATGGAGGTGATTAGGGAGCTTGACATCAGTTTTCATGTCACGTATTTTCCCCAGTTAAACTCTTAAGTAGAAGTTTGAAAGGAAAATGTTGACCCAGCCCCCTTACTAATTGGGGATATTGACCTGTGCCTGCCACTCCCTATCTTAGCGGTAATCTATGGCCGAAATGATTAAACTCACTGGTGCTTTTGACATGAAGGGTGAGACGTTTATACTGGGTAAAAATTGTTTATCTGAAGTCTGTGCCTCTTGTATGGTCTTGTAAAGTTCTTATCTCTATCCTTTCATTGTTCCTGACATAATTCCCCTGAATTGTACAAACGAATAACTGCCTATTAGACAAACTCTCAAACCAACTGTGTGCTGCAGCCTTTACTCGGAGAGAAAACAAACTTTACACTCTCCCATCTCTCCCTAATCCTCCAAACACTTCCTCCCCCCCCACACACAGCCAGCTCACGTTTGCTTCACTGCAAAAAATCTGAGTCCTTAGAAGCCTGCACCACCACCTAGCGTGTCTCTCAAGTCACCCACGTTCAAACCTATCCAGTCTGCTTTCCTGGTAGGATCCTAAACTGTGTCCCTGTATACAGTTGACTCCTCTGTCTGTGATGTGGGTACCACCCCTGCTCGGTAGTTCCAGGATGCTTGGCTTCGAGGTTATTTTTGTAGCTATTCTCCATAGTTCCTGTAGCGGCAATCTGCCTCCATTAGCTCTCTCTGCTCACTTTCTGAGAGGCTGCAGCAGACACACTTTTCAACTCTGTTCCATTTTGCATGCTCTTCCATCCGGGTCTCCATTTCTCATCATTCTCTTTGTAGCAATATTTCTCAAGGTGACAGTCTCTGAGGCCAGTCTCCACTTGTTGCTTAGTGGATTCCCTGAAGTCCACTGGACCTACTCTTGTCAAGACTTTCCAGCATGGCTATTGTACCAGGCTCTTTGGTCCACTCTTAGGTTTCATCTTTTTGTGACTTCCACTAGGCTTAGCATGCAGCTGCAAATACCTGGTCATCATTTCAGCCTTTCCTCTCTGACTGTTGCTAAAGTTCTGGTTTTCCTCCTCTTACGTGTCTTTCCCGCTGTCCTCCACAACGCCTTCTATTTCTGTGAAGGACAGAGGTGCTCAGGGTCTGGGTCTGAATGTTGTTCTCAGCCTGTGTTTACATTCAGGGTTGTGATGTTCTGTTGTGTGGCCTTCAATACTGGTGGCTCCCAAAGCCATAAGCCCATCATGTGGCAGACATTTTCCCACCTTCTGATACTCTTTCCCGTGGCCTTTGGGGACCCATGACGTGGTCCCCATCGTACGTGCAGCTTCAGCTCCTCTTCTCGACTTTGCTTGTTAGCTTCTCACACTTGGCTTCTCACTGTCCTTTACCCAACAACCTCCTTGCTGTTCAAAAGCTTTCCCTTTTCTTGCACAGTGTTTCAGTCTAGGTCTTTGCACACGGCCTGAGCCCTTTCTCCACTGTTACATGTGTTTCTCAGATGCTTTCCTTGACAATTCTGAAAAACAGTACTTTCTTATCTGTCTTATTTTTTTCTTAGTACTTATCATTATTTTAAATCACATTTTATTTCCTCCTAGGTAGTAATCTTCCTAATCAGGATATCAAATGAGTCTTTCTTTCTGCTGGCCCCATGATTTAGATAATTTTCTTTCTGATAGCAAATTCCCAATAGTGTACTGAGTGAGTAAATAAATCAATTAATGGGGATCTGTTGCATACTAATATTATCGTATCGCATGCTATTGTACCCTTAGTATATTTTTTTTGAAGGGACAGATAACTGTTTACTATCATGTAATGGTTAGTCATAATATAAAAGTGTCTGGCCAAGGGCTGCTGTATAAAGACTCATTTAAAGAGGTTTCCTAGGAGTAAGGTATATGGTATATTTTCTTACACTTCTCTCTTGAAATAAAATTGTATTTTCTTGGTCCTTCCCATGCAGCTGAAGAATAAATTCATGAAAAAGCTGCCACGTGATGCAGAAGCCTCCAACGTGCTGGTTGGGGAGGTGGACTTCTTGGACACTCCCTTCATTGCCTTTGTCCGCCTACAGCAGGCTGTCATGCTGGGTGCCCTGACTGAGGTCCCTGTGCCCACAAGGTAAGCTGCTCTTCCTCTCACTAGAGTACACAGGGTGCTTATAGGACAGCGCCATCCCGCTTAGGTCCGAGAATCAGTGGAATGAGGGTACACTCTGCATCGGAGAGCTTTTATTTGAAATAGGGGCTGGCCGACAGGTGTGCTCTTAAATTACATGTTACGTGAACAGTAATAGTGATGACAGTTACAGCAATCGACTGGCCCGTGCGCTGGGTTCTTCTTGCGGGTTATTATTTATAATCATATGATAAATCTTTTAGTAAGCGAACTCTAGTAGCCGTATGGAGACACTGAGTTTAAATACGTTGTCCAAAATGATACATTTATTAAGTTGTTCAGAGTTCGTAGATATTTTTATTTCCTCTGTCTGATTGGGAAAGTGTTACTGGGCTCACACATGTAGAAGCACCAACACATAGATGCATACACATATGTAAGTGAGCATCTTTGTAAAGACTTGGGCATCACTCTAAGCACCTAAATCCTCAACTTTTATATTAAGCATGTCATTTTGCCTTCAAAGGAAGCGTTGCTTATGCTATGACCACATGACACTCTACTGTTCTTGCCTCAGAAGTCATCCTAGAAGCTGCCCTGCCAGTTATCTCTGAAGCTGTACTTAGTGGTTCGGATGCTTGACTTAGGCACAAGATTAGCTGAAGAGATGCTAATACCTCACTTAGACTTGTACTGAGGACAAGGCTATGCAGGAGTTTGTAGTTTCAGGTTGACATCAGGGCATTACTACCTGATTTGAAGGAGGAGTGTACTTACTGTGGGACCCTGGGTAAAGTTAGGTGACTTCCTCCTCCTCCTCCTCCTCCTCCTCCTCCTCCTCCTCCTCCTCCTCCTCTTCCTCCTCCTCTTCTTCCTCTTCTTCTTCATCTTCTTCTTTTTTTACACGTGAACAGGAAGGGCTGTATATCCCTCTGAGTGGACTCAGATGATTTGAGCATGATTAACCAACCTTGACGAGAAGTTCAAGGTTTGTTCTGAGCTGGGTTAGGAAGAAAATGAGAAGCAAATGTCCCAAAGCCCTTTTCAGCTCAGCCAGTCTCCCTGATCATGAAGTCTTCCTCCCACCCATTGCTTTTAAATACCTGGATCAGACACTGGGCTTGCAGCATTGGAGAGGAGGTAGTCACAGCTGTGCAATTAATGGGCTAATTGTGATTGGTGTTTTCTATAACGTTCCGGCGGAGGCTTGCAGTTCTGTCTGAGCAATCACCTAGCAAGCCGCTGACTCAGGATGGCTAGAGTCCAGCTTGGTGCCCCAGTGACTTTATTTATGTCTTTGCACTAACTTTACTGGGGCCTGAAAGAGAAAACATGCCAAGAAGCATTAAAAAAGATTGCTCTTGCGTTTTCATTTTTATGACCATTTTTTTTTCTTTAGAAGCTACAAATAAAAAAATATTTTAAAGGCCTTTTGTTTAAACAGTGATACACACACAGGAAGCAGGAAACCATGACCATTTGTGCATCTTTCTTACCATCCTCCTCTGTCTGCCCCATTCTTCTCTTCATTTCCTTCTGCACCAGAGGGAAGTATTAATTTAGAGTTGAAACGTGGTATCATCTGAAGAGCGAGAGGAGCGAAGCCATTTATTTTAGAGAAGTGAAGAGGTGTAATTCAATATCATAAAACGATTTCAGATCTGTAATCTGAACAATATACCCTCTGATATTAATATTGTTCTAGGAAGTGCTTTATCTGTTTGCTGTCTTCTGGAGCAGGGTAAACTGGAATCACTAGTCGAGAGGCTCCTTAGCTGTGTGTGTGCGCGTGTGTGTCTGTGTCAGTGTGTCTCTGTGTGTATGTGTATATGTATATATATATACAATATGAGGATATTTATGATGATTTTATCCTATGAAATCCAATAATGGAAATCCCATGAGGAATGTAGAGTCATTGTGAATGATCCAGTCTATACCCCATGTTGGGATTTAACTTGTACACTGCTCTGTTGCTCTATGGGGATACTTGTGAAGTCTTTTATCACACACGTCTTTTCATGGTCATGTTTTCCCCTTAGATGTAGAGGAGAGTTATGCTGTGAGTGCTATTATCACTCTTCCTGAGAAACAGTTTCACTATGTTTCCTATTGTGAGCCTTCTCAAGAGTCTGGCCCTCAGGTCTCCTTTCTAGCTCAGCTCACAGCCTTCCTTATTTACTTTGCTTCTTCTGGTCCATTGCAGCCTGTACTTGTAGCACTGTGGCTGTCAATGGCTGGGTAGGTATGTGTCTGTGAGGGGTAGGTCTGGCTTTTCATGTCAGAGCAAACACACTAGTCTTTGATGTTTGGTGACTTGGTGGGATGTGTTTATGGTGGGGTGTTTTTTTTGTAATTTTTTCAGGCACTTTTCTTGTTGTTGCTTTATATCCAGTCATGAAGATATATATGAGATATAATTTTATTACTGTTTAGAAGCCTTGGACTTGAGGCAATGAGAAGATTTGCTATTAGCTAGCATAAGCACTTCACATTTCTGACTGTATAGCCTAAGTTCAGGGGCAACTTAGAGAGGTATCTAGAATGGGTTGGGATAAGACTCTTAGAGATGGTAAGAAGTAATAACCAGTGTAAGCCAGTTTGTCTCCTTTGGATCTTGATCTAAGATAAACGGCTAGTCAATGAGCTTTGGATTCTTAAGGAGTGTGATATTTCTTCTCATCAGCATTTTTTAAGTTAATGCATATTGTGTGTTATAATCGCTGGCCTCTGAGAAGTAGTTTGTACTTAATCATTTAAAAACATTATAAGATTTTAGAGGTGTTGAGATAGCATCCCTGCTATTGATTGTCTGTGTCCTTCATTTCGTGTATGGTGGTAGTGATGGTGCGTGATCCTCATGAGTCTATTGTAGACACTACAGCTTAGCTACATCTTCCAAAGCTGCATAATGGGTTGTTTGATTCACTGCTGTTTCAGAGAAGGAGGTAAGGGATAGGTGCATGCTGGGGTTATTCAGGAGATAGTTGTGATCTATCAGGAAGGGGGGTGTATCCTTTCTAAACAGACTGGGTGCTTTAGGAAGGCTGATTCCTTTTCTGATACTGTACTTGTTCTGCCTATAATAATCTTGAGAAAGTGAGAGTACAGGCCACTCGTTCTGGACGTGAATCATCTGGTGTTTCTTTTTGTTGCGAAGTGTGCCAGAGGCATCCTCTGCAGGCATAATTAATTACTTGAAAAAAAAATTCACAAATGTAGGAAGGGGCTTCCTGGAGACTCTGGAGACAACTAGCAACCATTCTAAATTCCAGCTGTGAAGTCTGTGGTTGTGCATGAGTAGAACAAACCCAATAACATGAGCTCACTTTTCTTCCTCCTGAGCTGTCAACATGGGCTGTTCACCTCCAGCCACACAAATGCAATGCTCACTAGGAATTCGTTAATAAAGAGAAAGGCTTCCGGTTAAAAACAACATCTGTCCGTTGACAAAACCCAGCTCGTATCATGAAAGGAGTTTTCAGTACGTTATGAAAGCTGATCTTGGCAGGAAGTACAACCATTGTAAAAGTTGTAACAGCTTTTGATTCTCTGAGGGTGAAAGGGCAGGGGGCGGGTCTTAGGCAGAGAGGGTTTGGCTTTCAGGGTTGTTTCCTGTGGCTTCCTCAGGTCTCCCCTCTTTCCATATCCATTGCAACAGTGCTGTGAATTGGAAGCTGCACCAGCTTTCTGTTCCTACCATTGAAACTCTTAGCTCACAGTGAGACCCTGTTGCACATTTATGCCCAGAGTTCTTCCTACACTACTTTCAAGGAACAGATCTCTGAACTGTTCTTAACCAAGATAATGTGAAAACTTTTATAACTCAGTCACCGTGTTATTTCTGCTTGGCACCTGGTGACATTTCATAATGAAGAAATGTCTTTTTATTTTAACCTAGATCCCTTTCTATCCAGGTTATTGAGCCAATATAATTTTTTGCACTCTGACTTATTGTTTTAGTATGTATTATAGCTATCACCACACTAACCTATTACTTCCTGTCTTTCTTTGGTATTATTGAGTGAAGACCAAACGGTAAATGTTTTATAGGAAACGTATGCCCTTGTGCTAACTTGGTAGCTCCGTTACTCTGTCAAAAGTGCTTGCGCAGTTACCTCCTTCCTGCCTAGTTTTACGTTTGAGGATGGTTACTGATCAAGAGTGTTTCCTCACAGAGAACATAGTATTCAATGAGGTTTTGTTGCCTATGTACAACCTGAGATAAATCTACTCATCGGTCTTCAGAGTGAGTTTTTATAAGCTATATTCACATGGGGGTACTGGAGAGAAGTAGGAGACCCATAAAGTGGCCCTGGCAAGGTGTTAGCGATTGTGTATTATTTGAAAAGTTAATATTTGGATACTTCAAAACAATAAAAAGGGCCAGACAAGTGAAATCAAGTACAGATGAACGAAACAAAGTAGCCAGTGTCAAGTCATTTTTCTTTTATGATACCCACATCTGCCTGTTTAGCCTAAAACCGCCATTTCTGCCATGCACAACCCTCTGTAGACAGGCAAGTAGAATTGGTGAATGTAACCAGTACTAACTTTTCTTAATGGAACTTTACCTTAGTGGCTAAATATCTTTGCATATGTTGTTCTAAGAATAATGAGCGTTCCCTTTAGAAACCACTACCAACAACAAACACTTGCTGTCAAGAAGGGCTTTGTGTTGCCATGAAGATTGGCTCATTGCTATATATGAAGTGTTATTGCTGTGTCCTTCACTGTGACATCCTTTGATGGCAAGCCTCACAGATAAGTGCTGGATGGTTTTATGGTTTTACTGATGACAAGATCTGAAAATTCAAAAATTTAAGAACATTGGTTATAGTTTTGATTCCTGATTTTTTTTTTAAAGAAATCTTTGGAGTGAATGATACAAATAAAGAAAAGTATTCATATGCTAGGACCTTTTTTTTTTTTTTTGGAATAGATGGTGACATTCATTTACAGAGCATGTGATGTCAGTCCTTGTTAAAGTGAGTTAGGGAACTACATAAATAGAAGTAAAATTCTGTGAAGTAAACTATTAAACGGTTCCTGGTGCCATCAGTTCTTGTCTCCGCTTTCTTGTTCCCGGCTACATAAGAATCCACAATTCTTTTCCCAAGAGCCACGTGTGAAAATGCCTGTTGGATAGGTTTAGTTTTATGAATCACAGCCCCTGCAAACCAGAGGAGCAGGTGATACTGCAGAGTCGTTAAGGGAGGAATGGAATCCAAGATGCCTGTGGACCCACATTTTGCCATTCTGATTGTGCGGTTGTTTTGATCCCGCTGGTTCGGTTCGAGTGTCACTCATAGCAGCCTCATGTTCTGTCACTGAGCCCTGCCCTTTGCTAGACACAAACCTTGGGCTCACCTTCTTCTCTACCCCCAGATTCCTTGCTGTTAAACAGGATGAGCTCTGTTTTGCAGAAGGTTGTGTGGGATTCTAAGGAGACGGGTGTGCTTCGCAGGCTTTCTGAAGCTGTGCAAACATGTGATGCTGCTGTGTGTGCGGTCTTTATTTTCTCCCTGATAGGTAATGCATGAGCAAGGCAGTGATTTGCCCAGTAACACCTTCTGTACCTCTTTCTTACTTACTTATCAGCCTCTATCTTTCTCAGTGGAGACACAGATTTTCACCTTCGTGGTGAGAGATGGATTTCTTCCAAAACGACAAGCTCATCATTGCTTATATCAGTAGATATTTGTTCTGGAGCAATGCTCTTTATATTATCAAGAAAATAAATTCAGAAAAGAAAATGAAGGAACCCTTAAAGGGCTTTTCAACTGTCTGTGAACGGTACTTTAGTTTTCTTTATGTCTCTCATATTTCTCTCGCCTTTTTATCAGCGAGTGCGTCACTTGCTTGGCTTTTGCTGAATCCCACTCAGCTGAATAGCAGCACTATCTCCTAAGAATATGGAGAAGGGCAGTTGTCACTGCACATATTGGGTACAGGGAAGTCAGAGAAATCAGAAAATGCACTAAGTCTTTGAACTTGATATCATTAATACACTTGCACCATGGTGCAAAGTTAGTAGAAGTTAGTAGAAGTGAAGGCAAAGAAAAGTTTAGCACACAGAGATCAGTGGTTTGTGAAATGGATAAATAAGGAGAGTTCTCCTGCTCAATGAAGAAGGCTCCTGGGTTTCTCCCTTAGTTAAACCTTGTGTTGGTATAAAGGAATGTCCTTTTTTTTTATCTCTTAGAATTACATCTTTATTTAGTTTAAAGGAGAGTTCTAGGGGCTGGGTAGACTGCTCAGACCAGCTAGTAATGCTTCACAAATGTGAGGGTCTAAGTTCACATTTCCAGCACCCATGTAATAAACTAGGTGCAGCAGTGTGTGCCTGTAATTTCAGCACTAAACAGGCAAAAGCAGGCGGATCCCCGGCATTTGCTAGTTTGGGTACATCTGTGAATTCCAGATAAAATGTGAAAGCCAGTCCCAAAAACCTAAGGGCAAGTGCTATTCAGGAAGACAACTGACCTGTGATCTCCACATGTACACACACATAAACGCACACACACGCACACACACACACACACACACACACACGACAATCTCTAGAGCCATCATGATGAATCAAGATAATGATTTCTCAGTTTGGTGAAATGTGTATTACAATCTTTGCTTCTCTCCTTCTCCATTAGGTTCTTGTTCATTCTCTTAGGTCCAAAGGGGAAAGCCAAGTCCTACCATGAGATTGGAAGAGCCATCGCCACCTTGATGTCTGATGAGGTAGGGGAGCCAGGTGAAGGGATGTGTGGTTATCGTATATGTATTCATCTAAACTGTGAATTGATTGCCATGTTTTTTTTTTTTCAGTTAGACTTATGTGGCTATGAGGTTCTTCACAGAATGACATACAGTCATTCTTAGGTCATTCTTTCTTAGGCAAGACAGCTTCCCAAAAGTAAGGCACATGCTTTATTTTTGTGTTAGATCCTGAAAGTATACAGGAATAAATACATTTCCATTTTTGCCCAAGCAAAATTATCTGTAGAATATTCTAAATTTCTTAAAACTTTAAGATAAACGGTTTACATATAGTTTTTCTATTTATGGGTTACTATATAAAGTTTTAATTCAGTTATACTCTTTGGAATGATCTGAGACGCAGTACACAGTGATGATTAACAGCAATTAATTATATATTTCAAAAATAACTAGTAAAGAGGATTTTCATTGTTTTCAACACCAATAGGTTGCTACTGTCTGAAATGACCAGTATGCAGCTACCTTGATAGGATCCTTATGTATTTTCAGTTGTTAAAACTGATGTTTAAATATTGCTGATAAGTTCAAAGTCACTCTATTAACTTTATCTCTTTAGATAATTTGTCACTTCTCTGAACTCATATGTCCATATATTATTTGAGAAATGATGACTTTATCAAACAATGCATAGCCAAGTAGATGATTTTAATTTTTTTAGGTATCAGAATGTATTTGTTTTTGTGGTTTGTATTTTGTTGGGAGGCACAGTGTACACATCTGTGGTGCATTAGATACTGTTTCTAACCAGTGCTTTAGAGTTGACATCTCATCCGCACATACAGTAGTTTAGTAATGATAAGCATATTTAGTTTAGTTATGATCAAACTCTGAACTAGTCTATGGTAGAAGAAATACCGTTGGAGTACAGGGACATCAGCCTCTGCTCTCTCAGCTTTCTGCATCCTTATTTCTCAAAGTGATGTTTGTACTGTGGCTTCGTTTGTCAGTCTTACCCATGAAGTGTAGAGCTGGAGGCTCTTTCCCCTGGGGAAATAAAGGACAACTCTGCCATTCCACTCGAGGGGACATTTATTTCCCTCATTTTAGTTGGATGATTTGTTTAATTTTGTGTGTTGATAGTTTTTTTTTTTTTAAATTCATTCCTAATATAAGGTAGGAATGCCTTAGAGCATACGTGATAGGTGCAGAGTGGTTCTCTGATATTGATGAGGGCCTCTTTCAACGGATATTTTACAGGTTTGCTTCTCTTACATCTCATTGGTTGACAGTGCCAATATTTACCACCAAGGTTGGTTGGGAAGGTATATTGCTGACTCTCTATCTGCCAGAGAAAATTAGCAAAGAGATTTTGTGTGTGCTGCAGAGGAAGTTCTTACCCTGTGCATTGCCCTTTCCTCAAACCCAGAACCCTCAAATCAGTGTTATTTGTATGATAACACCTAAAAATGATATTCTAGGAGAAGAGATAGAGTAGAAAGATTTAGCGTAGGTTAAGGGTGTTGAACAGGGGCAAGATTCTCTTCTGGATGATAAAAAGAAATTAACTTATAAAGATAAAAGGCTTGACTTTGTGAAGACCTTCAGATTAGCTCAGAAGAATAGGCCACTGAAGAAAAGGATTGTATGGCCTTCTGAAACCCCTTCTTTGATGTGGATAGAAGATGTGGCATTTTGGCTGTCAGTATCGGTTGCCTTTCTGTTCTGTGTTAAAATACCACGACTAAGGCAACTTGTAGAAAAATAAAAACATTTATTTAGGTTTATAACTCTACATGGATAAGGGTCCATCACCATCAGAGTGGGGAGGAGGCATCGTGGTAGGTGGCAGGTGGCAGGCATGGGAGTAGATTCAGGGAGCTAAGTTCTTACATCATCAAACTCAAACACAAAGCACAGGGAATAAACTCAAAAGTAGAGGGGGCTTTAAGCTCAAAGCCCGCACCATGTGACATACTCTCTCCAGGAAGGCTACACCTCCTACTTCCATAAACAGTGCCACCGACTGGAGACTGAGTCCTCAAATGCACAAGGCATTTCTCCTTTAAACCCCTGCCTTGGCTTTGGTGAATTCCTTTGCTAAAAGGGAGGCATGTCAGCACTTATTTCAACCACTGTCCTTTTTGCCGATATGACTCAGGCTTTCTTCTTTGTTTCTGAATAGCTCCCATTGTTAGAGGACTGCAGTGTGTGTGTGTGTCGCGCAAACGTAAGCACTCACTCCTTATCCCGACTTTAACAGTCAGTGTGCGCTTGTTCTGACACTAATATTTAATTCCAAGACTGGTTTTCAGTAGAGATCTTGAAAACATCTTCAGCTGGCTCTCACAGCAACTGTGAGAGTTTGGATGGAAAAGCATCCTTAAAATTCCATCTCTTCAAACCTCTACTTAGATGCTGAGATCATAACCTGTACCCCTCAGTACACTGAATAGGGAGGAAGATGAGAGAGTAGCTGTGGGAGTGTCAGGGCGCACTGTGGGTGTGTTACTCAGCTGTGATGTGTTGTGAGGCCTTCAGAAAGTTGGCTTAGTGGATCAGCACTTCTCTTGCTGTTCAGGTGTTCCACGACATTGCTTACAAAGCGAAAGACAGACACGACCTGATTGCTGGCATTGACGAGTTCCTAGATGAAGTCATTGTCCTTCCACCTGGGGAATGGGACCCGGCAATCAGAATAGAGCCTCCAAAGAGTCTCCCATCATCTGACAAAAGGTAAGTTGCTATGCACTTGGCAGTGTTCGGGGAGTGTCAAGCCCCTGAGGAGGTTAAGAAAAGAAGTAGGGATGAGCTATGTTGTGATAATCCCTGATCTCATGGATATTTTGCCCCAGATGAGGCTGGTGTGCCTGTAAAATAAGTGTTATGTGCTTTGATGTACTGTAATAATTGCACCTAGCTCTTAATGTTAGAAAGTGTCACCGGTGTTCTTTGGGGATACTTAGGGGATGGTCTGTCTGTGTCTGTGGAAAGATCACTTTACTCAAGAAGAGTCCTTTAGGCTAAGCAGGTTAAAAAGTTTAGTGAGTAGCTGAGGAGAAACAGTTCCGTGAAAATCTGTTATTCCCCAGGTGGAACCGTTTCATTCCTATAAGTGTGCAGTAAGTTAAACTCTTTGTTGACTCAGCCATCTGTCTTGCCACCAGATAGAACACTTTAAGAATTGTCTGTTAGCAAAAAATAAGAAATCATGGTTGTCTTCTGAGAAGGCCTTCATTCTCTGTCTTTAAAAGCATACCACAGACACAAAAGCAAGTGATCACAATAAACTAATGTCTACTCGAACCCTGTTGTCTTGCTTAGAAAGAACATGTACTCAGGTGGAGAGAATGTTCAGATGAATGGGGACACACCTCATGATGGAGGCCACGGAGGAGGAGGACACGGTGACTGTGAAGAATTACAGAGAACTGGCCGGTAACTGCAGGAACCTTTTGCCATTCGTGATAAGGTTTTCCTTAGATCTAAATTTCCCTTCCTTGTTCTCAATTCACTTTCAGTGTTTTATTTGCTGATTTGTTCCATTGGTCAGCCAACAAATATTTATAGTACATCTGTTGGTCAAGGTCACTGGGAGTACAGCCGTATATGAATGCCTTGCTGTTATGGGCCTCACTTTGTAGAAATAGGGTGTGGGGGGGGAATTTAGAATCTTATGCAAATAAATAAATGAATGCACCAATGGGTTTATGAGGAAAATGGAGGAAAAAAATAGGGACTTTGGTGATGTATAGTTTTAGACAGAGTGATCTGAGTGGACCCTGTTGATACAGGAAACATTCAAAGGAAGTGCTGAAGGGTGAGTTAGAGATGGGGGCATAGAGGACCCAGGAGACTGACATCTGGGTAGTGTGGCCAGTGGAGTCACTGATAGGATGATTCAGAGAGGGCTAAGTTTATAGGAGGTGACAACAGGATGACTGAAGATTGACTAGGTATCCTGTGTGATGTTCATGGTACCATCCATTCCTTCCATGTGTGTCTCATGTAGAAAGGAGTGGCCAGTAGGCCACTCCCCTGTCGCCTTGCCCAGTCGAGGATTCTGATTCCCAAGAATCTTCCAGTTGCCCTCTTATTGTGATCATCTCTTCTCTATTATTAGATGATTTTGGGGGGGTTAAGTAAAATTTTTAGTATGATACTCATTTCATGAAAATGTGGAAATCATTACAGGATTTAAAAGAACCCCCCAAATATGTCATTTTAATATGCAATTGAATCTGAATGAAATTAAGTTATTTCCTTCTGCTGGTGACCCACTTGAGTTTCTCCTCTAAAGTACAAAATGAATTCTTTCCCTTCCTCTGACTGAATGAAGACTAAAACCCTCTCCACCATCTGTGTTGATTAATGGTGGGGTATAGCCTAGAACTCTGTCTTTGGTCATCATGCAAATATCATAAAGTGTACTTACACCAATCTGGGGGTATTAGCCACTTATTCAGTATGGCCTCTGGGATGTCATCAAAAGACAAGATGAAGATGATATGTATGAGTCCATTGGCAGCTGAACATGGCATTTTGTTTTACAGTAAACTTTTATAAGTAAAAGGACTATGCACTAAAGTAACAATAAAAGGTATGGTATGGCAAATACATGAGCTGGTAACAGAGCTATCTATATGTGTGTGTAACCGTATGCTTTTACATAGCTCCCAGTCAGTGAGCTTTACTTATGCCAGCATATCACCATGACACACAAGGAGAGAACTGTACTGGAGAAAATTGTCATATCTAATGATGCTTCTTTGTGATAATGTCATTTTAGTTCCACTGTCATCTTCTGAGGCCACAAGCACATACATGGTCCATTATTGACCTCGCTGTCATGATGCAGTGCATGGCTACAGTTCTTTATAAACGATTTTCACTAGGAAAAACTTTGTCACTTGCTACTTACAGCCCAGATATGAGCTGTAAATTTAATGTGTTGAATTGCATCAGACTGTCCTTTCCTTCTCTGATCTCTCTCCTTTCCACACTCATTTAGTGCCTGCACACCCCTGTGTGTGTCAAGGGTACAGAAGTGGGGTGCTCAGCTTAGCTGAGGCTGAGTTGTCAGGTTTTAGAAAGGGGTACTTTGGAGAAAGCTGGTTCAAGAGGTTCTGTTGGAAGAAAAATAGGCTGGTGCTTGGGTTCAGACCACACCTTTGCCTATCACACCCCTGCATGCCTTCTTTACTTCATGCCTTTGGGTCCTTATTCCAAATTCAGATTCTCAGAGGCCCACTCTGGCTATCTGTAGTTTTTTTCAATGCGTCTTCAATAGAACTATGTAATTACTACCTCCATTTGAATTTTCCATGATTTTTATTTACTTACTATCCTGTTTATCCTCTTTCCCAGAGGTAAACTCCATGATGTCAGAACTTCAGAGCCTGTGTTATACAATGTTGTTTCCCCAGAACATGGAATAATGACAGAGGGTGTGTGTCTCATGGGGCTTACCCTCACAAAGTGAGGTGATATGACATTGTGACAACATCTTAATGGGCTTTATGTGTTGTGCAATGATTTGAATGTTTGGTTTCAGAAAATGGAAAATTATAATTTATCTACTCAGTACTCTCATCTAAAGATCAACTGGACAATCTTTGGGACATGTTGGACCTATTCTAGTAACTGAAAGAAAGAAAAAAGAGAAAGAAGAAGATATATTTCTCCACATTTATTTTTTTTCTGTCTCATCTAAGTGAGACTATCTTAAATAGTATCTTGTCATTGACTCAGGGATTTTAAGTCCAACGTCTTTGTGGTTTACTGAATTATGTCTTGATGAAGTTGATGGCTGTTTGTCTTACCCTTGATTACATGTTTGCTTTCTCCCTACCCAGGTTCTGTGGTGGATTAATTAAGGACATAAAGAGGAAAGCACCATTTTTTGCCAGTGACTTTTACGATGCTTTAAATATTCAGGCTCTCTCGGCGATTCTCTTCATTTATCTGGCAACCGTAACCAACGCCATCACTTTCGGAGGCCTGCTCGGGGATGCCACCGACAACATGCAGGTGGGTCTGATTTGAGAGAGGATGCAGACAGTCCGGCGCAGATTGTCCTTCTCACCCCTGCAGCTCTGCGAGGAGCAGATGGCCCTTCAGCTACTCAGCGTGACTGTCTTTTGCTGGATGCTGCACTTTACTTTGCTTCTGGCTCGATGCTGTATTTCCAGCATGTTAGTAATTACAAAAATAGCTTGATGAAATCTGGCTTGAGTCACAAGTGGGGAAAAGAAGGGGAGGAAATGCGGCTCTACAATTCTATTTGGGCAAAAGCGTCTCAGCTGCTCGGATCCTGTGTGGTGCACAGGGTTTAGAGCTTCCAGGATCTGGAGTGCATGGGCCATATTTGGTTTCACTTAGGATCACACTCTTTTGGGGAGGTGTGCTTACGTGACTCTTTGCCCTTGTTCTAAGATGAGCAAATCCACACATCAAGCCATGGGGTGGTCTGCTCGAGGCTGGACTGGCATGTCTGCCGGTAGAAATCAGCTCTAGTGAATCCCAGCTGAAGTTGTTTCTTCTATTCCTGGACCAGCTCTCACTGAGCTGTAAAGAACCTGGCTGGGTTAATGTTATAATGTGAGTTACAACCACAGTTGGTTGGTTACTGTGGGGGGAGGGTTGCCATCCTTTCACATCAGTAATAGCCATGGTTTTAATAAGAGAAAAGATGTCATATGTGTCATATGCTTCCTCCCGACCCATCAATTAGAACAACATGTGGAAACGACTTAAAGTTGATGTAGGCATTAGAAACAGCACGAGTTGTACTTGGTACTGAATACACAGTGGATGGCACTGAACATGAGTTGAAGCCCTTTCAAACTCTGCCTTCACACTTACTTCTTCTCATCAGCGTCCAACCCATGGGGCATTCACACATGTGCCAGCCAGCGTCTTAGTTCATAAATGCAGCTAATTCCCCCAAATTACTTTTGTTACTTTCTTACTTTGCCTCTAGTTCTACATCTGTGCTCTAGAGTCCTTTCTCAATGCAAAGATCAGATAGATCCAGTAACCTTTATTTTGTGGTACCAGGCACCAAGGGAAAAGTTTCACAATCATATTTTAAGTTAAGAGTGCCTGTTCGTTATATGAAGCTGGCCTTCATGCATATGGGAGCTATGGGCTCAGCTGAGTGGTTCTTTCTTTGATCCTTCATACACATAACAGTTAGATGGCACCTGAGTTTGAAGTTGTCTAATGGTTTCCACTCACATACTGCCTAGGCATGAGTGACTGGAACAGCTGAGCTCTAGGGACACTCCATGTGGCTTTTCCACAAGACTAGCTTGGGCTTCGTCACAGTATGTGCACCCTTAAAAGCTGCTGAGGCTTCAGAGAAAGAGGTGACGACCATTCACCTTTCATCTCATGTGGTTGTATACCTAACATTGCTTAGTTTTCTGACTTTCAGAGATGCACTGAAAATCCAAACTCTCAGTGAAAGCTTTTAGCTCTTAAATATTACCATTGATTAGCATTATGCTGATCAAAGATCATGAATCTCTATGTCACTCCTGGGCCTGGTTCGCAGAGACCAAATGTGTTTTGCTGCCACCCCTGCCGTGGATGTCTTCATTCCTAAGACAGGGATAACAACTAAACTGTAACAGTAACAAAATGTTTATAAACTCTGACCTAGATTCAAGCGTGGCAGCAGTCCCTCATCCAGGTTACAACATGATACTCGCTAAGGTAGATCATTTAGGAAACCAGCTGGAAACGAAACCATCGAGGAAACACCTCGAGGCCAGCACAGAGCTCGCACAGGCAGCCACGTGTGCTGAAGAAATCAAAGATATCTATGGTGTTTAAAGGATGTATTTTAGGGGCTTCTGCTGTTTATTAAAAGTTTTGGTATATAAATAAATATGTTACCATTAAACACCGATCAGATCATTGTATTTACTTTCTTTTCCCCTTTGCTTTTTAGTTATGCTTATTCTTGAGAATTTCAAAAGTGCTTACACTGTATTTTAATCATCGGCATCCCTTCCTCCTCTCAGCTTCTCCCAGATTCACTGCTGCTCTTCACCCACGACCCCCTAACTTCATGACATCTTTGGAAAATAACCCTATCAATCCAGTTTGTACTGCCTATATACCCAAGGGTGTGGGCCACCCACTGAAGCATGATTGACTACTTCCTTAAACTTAATTGATTCTTCTTACCCCAGAAACCATCCCTGGCCAATAACTCCTCAGATGAGTCCAGCAGTCCTCTCGTTTTCAGAGGACTCTGTTTCACTCCAGTTCTTCAACCTCTGGCTGAGGGTCTTTATTCTTCTCCTGGATGATGCTCAAGCTGTTTGGCGGAAAGGTTGTGTATTGATGCAGGCTTAATGGCTGAGCACTCCCTAGACACTTATTCTCTGTGCTTTGACCCATTGTGAGCTTCTGTGTTGATTACTGTCCACCAAATACCAAGGCTTGTCTGATGATGTTTGAGGGATGGGATACACTGTCTGATTTGGAGCAGATGATTAAGGACAAAACCAACAAAACCAACTTTTGTTACGAGATAACAGAGGTGTGCTTATGCAGAGACATCTAAAATAATTTATCTTTTGTGGATATTCTTCTGTTCTTCTCATTGAAACAGTGGCAGTGCAATCTTCCTATGTGTGCATTGAATGCTTCTCCGGAATATAATCTTTACAGTCTTGTTTGGTTTAGCTTTATGGTTTTGAGACAGACAGAGAGAGAGAGAGAGAGGGAGGGAGGGAGGGAGGGAGGGAGGGAGGGAGAATGTGTGTAGTGTGTATATGTGTATATAGTGTAAGAGAGTGCTGAGGATTGAACTCAGGGCCTTCAGCATACTGGGTATCTTAATTAAGGTTTCTATTTGCTGTGATGAAATAACATGGCTAAAGAAACATGGGGAGGAGAGGGTTTATGTGGCTTATGCCTCCACATTACTGATCATCACCATGGGAAGACAGGACAGGAACTCAAACAAGGCAGGAACCTGATGACAGGAGCTGATGCAGTGGCCATGACATAGTGTTGGTTACTGGCATGCTCCTTCTGGGTTGCTCATAGAACCCAGGACCACTAGCCCAGGGGTGATATCACGCACAGTTGATGGACCCTCCCCCATCAATCACTAATTATGAAAAGTTCCTACAGGCTTGCCTACAGTCAGATCTTATGGAGGCATTTTCTTAATTAAAATTTCCTCCTATCATATGACTTTGCTTGTGTGAAGTTGACATAAAACTATCCAGTATACTGGACAAGTGCTCTAGGAGTTAGCCAAAACTCCATCCCAGATTTAGCTTTAGAACGTAGCATCTAAGGCCAGATGAGAAGAAGCTTGTCCAGGTTGGTTTTGGTACCATTTGTATGAATCAGTTTCTATTTGAATGAGTTCTTGGAATAGTAGACTTTGCTGTATAATATAAATAGGTATGATGGGATTTTGACGTGCTGTATATTGTCTGGGTAATTCCCTGGCTATGTTCTGGTTCTGAAGTTATCAGGAGAAGTGTGAAGGGGTTAGGGCATCAGCCTGTTAAACAGTGTTCCTGGATATTAGACTGGGAAGTTGATAACTCAAAGCCATAAAGACTCATAAGGATATTTTTGTACATACTTTGTCAATATTTTATTAATTATTTTATAATTTTTATTGATAATTTTGTTGAAACAATATAGGTAGAATGTTAAAGTTTTCTGTGAATGAAATTACTGAAGCATACATCACTTCTCTTGCATATGAAGCTTTTCTCCTTAAAAGCTACACTGTCAAAGCCCTTCTTGAAGGCTTGCAGGAGTCACAGAGGATGGCAGGAACACTGAAAGGGAAGGATGGACAATGAGTGGTTATTAACACATATTTGTTGAACTGAACATTAATGAATATTGTTGTGTGTGTGTGTGTATTTTAAGAACTAGAGAGTGAGCTGTTTTGACATGTGAAGACTATATCATGTATGCAATGCACCTTACCTTATGAATGTTTTATCCCTTGGGCAGGAGCCGTTTTGACTTGTCATTGAGACAATAAAATATTTTGTGGATTTGATGATATGTCTCAGGTCATTTTATAGGTATATGACAGACATTAACTTATATCTTTGCAAATGTTTATGGTGTGCCTACCATGTATTATATAGATAGAATTTTATGTGCTTGAGGAAGAGAGAGGTGAGTCAAATGGGTAAGAAGCCTAGGCTGGTGGGATTTACATTTAGATTACTTATGGAAGCAACCCTTTTCTAGGTCCCTACAAGGTACTAGCATGGTATATAATACCTCCAATTACTTTTCTAAACACATCTTCCAGAAAGCACTGGGAAAACTTGAGTGTCTGCAGTTCTATCACATCCTTCACAAATAAGGCAGCAGGTTAGTCGCCATAACACAGGCAGCTCAATGAGTCAACTGAGAATAACATCCATGCTTCTAAAGGCAGACTGCTCAGAGATGGTTTGGCTAGGGCCTTTATTGTCAGGCTACAAATAGACATGGGTGCTGGGGAGAAGCATGTTGTGAAAACACAGATGACTCACTGTGTGACTGTTGTCTAAGCTACTCTCCTGCCAGCTTCTGTTCAGGAGGACTGGCCTGTTTGAAGATAGAATTTGCTTTCAAGCATTAATTTTAGGGCTGATGGTATCTATCATCTATCTATCTATCTATCTATCTATCTATCTTATCATCTATCATTTAACTCTATCTATCTATCATCTATCTATCTATCTATCTATCATCTATCTATCTATCTATCTATCATCATTTATCATCTATCATTTAACTATATCTATCATCTATCTATCTATCATCTATCTATCTATCTATCTGTCTATCATCTATCTATCTATCATCTATCTATCTATCATCTATCTATCTATCATCATCTATCTATCATCTATCTATCTATCATCTATCTATCTATCTATCTATCTATCATCTATCTATCATCTATCTATCTATCTATCATCTGTCTATCTATCTATCTGTCTATCTATCATCTATCTATCTATCTATCTATCAATCATCTA